AAGACAACTTAAAGTACGAATAGGTGAACATTTTAGAGATATTAGATCTAATGACCCTGAAAGTAATCTTGCCCAACACTATGCTAAATATCATGGAGGTAAACTGGATGGCACTAAAGTGAAAGGTTTCTATGCATTGCACTTTCCTCAAAGGAGAGGTGATTTTGATAGGGAATTGCTAAAAAAGGAGAAATATTGGATATATAAACTTGATACTTTGTACCCAAAGGGGTTAAATGTGGAATGTGATCTCCAAGTATTTTTGGATAAATAGATCTATATGGATATATATTCTCATATTGCCATGTTATGGCCAATCTGTGGTAATTCTTCATTTCTGTCAATGGTTAGACAATATGTTAAATTATTAAGGTAAACCTTCCTTTTTTTGGGGAGGTATCTAATAGCCTGATGGTACATATTTGAATATAAGTTTAGAAGTGGAGAAGGGACTAACTATTGAGCTAGCTATTCTCCTCTCCTTTGAAAATAATTGTATACTAATAAGTGGTTAATTTGAAGTTTAGGTATCTTTGGCAAAATAACCCATAGAGGGATTCGTTAATTAACATCGCCATCTTGTGGCGGTTTTGCGGTAATTATTATTGTGTTCTTAGATACCTTTGACTTAATGAATAGGTTTGGAGACTCTTTCATTAATATTGCCATCTTCTGGTGAATGTGTGGTAATTTTTCATTTGATTATTTTTTATTTCTTTTTGCATTGTTGGAAGTGTCAAGCCTTTCCTCTCTTTGATATATCCAGTCGCCTGTCTTTTTAATTTAATTTAATAATGACCAGCGGCTGTGCTAAGTATTTAGCCTTTTTTCTCCCATTGAGAATAACTGCAAGTTAATTTTTTGCATAAGTGGGTGGGTCTTAACCCACTATAAATAGGAAGTTGAAATGCAGGAATCTCATTGGTCCTGACGAAGCTGAGTGAGATACGCCCATCGGCGAAACGCGTTGACGTCATACGTCAGATACGTCACTTCCGGTCATGCGCACTAGGTGGAACGCACGCCGACCTACAAGGAGGTAGCCATTTTCACATGCCATGAGTCAGGCTAAGGCAGTACAGGCGCCATGGAGAGGTCGGAACCCGCGATATGTCGGCTGATGTAAGCGGTGGTTCCCTGGTTCCACACGGCAGCACTTATGAAGGACTTATTTTCCTTTCCTATTACCCATTGCACAGGTGGTGGTGAGTGGACTGTTACAGGACATTAGATAAAAGGTCCCATGCGATTTATATGACAATAACGTCTACCATAGAGTAAAAGCTCTTACAGTGACTATTCTCATATTGCTTGTCTTACTACAGGATGGGGACATTATGGTGCTTCACATAGAAACAAGGCATACCACGTATATTTCAACAGGCGGAAGATCCTTTGGGCCTTATCTTGTTTCCAACAAAAAGTGGTTTGCAGTCCACATGTCGTGGTGAAGAAACCATTTAAAGCAGTGTTCTGCTACTTGCATCTATTTCTCCATCAAGGCAACAATCGGGGCTCTTTTCATTTTAAGAGTCCTAATAACCAGTCACTTTTATTATAGATTAATGGGCCCCAACCACATGTGCCGGCATAGGATTGTACTGCATTTTTTATGTGATATCCATCTATTGCCTAATATAGGCTTATGGTTATGCCTCTCTTTTGACGATTACTGTGCTCGCTGTACTGCATGCATGTGATATGATATACCCTTGGTATAATTTTTGGAAATCCCCCCATATGGGGTATAACCTATATGGTTATGACATATGTCTATATATATAGCATGTGACACTGTATACCTATGGTATAATTTTTGTATACACCTCCTTTAGGAAGTGTCAAGCTATGTGCCAGTGCTGCAAGGACTTTAGACTATAGCGGTCATTGTCCTTGTTGCACATCTATCCAGACCGGTCTTGGTGTCATTTTATATGGTTTTAGGTCTGTGTGTATTGTCTCATACTGAGGTGATGGTAAACCAGGGCGATTGCCCATATGTCAAATATTTATGTGTAATAAAGCATAATTTTTGGAAATTTTTCTGAGTATCACATTCTGTTCATAATGTAGCCGCTTTTCTGTGAATTCCTTTTCACAAATTCCTTTTTTTTGCATGCCTTTTTGGGCTACTGAATGGAAGCCATCTATTTGGTGATACGGTAATTTATTTTGCAACCTCTAAAAAACTACCTTTATTCATTCTGTACCACATAGCCTACTGATCTAAGGTAATTAAAAGAGGAGTTTAGTTATCATAGGGAGGAGACCATTGAAATGAAGTTATTTAAAAGTATAGTTCGCTTTTAGGCCTCTTCAGACCTTTGCTTTACAGTACTGTGTTTTATCACAATGGAATACACAACACTCATTTAGAATAGCAAGCCAATGTGAGCAATGCCAAAAAAAAGCCCAGCAAGGCACGTCAGGGTGTTGTCAGGCATACTGTAATTGTGCTTTCTTGTGGCATTGGATCAGTAAATGCTTCTTTCTGGCAACTCAACCATGCAGCTCATTTCTGTTCAAGTATTTTCACATTGTTAAAACAACCACACTGTCTTTTTTCAGAGCAGCCTGTATTTTTCCTGAGGTTATCTGTGGGTTTTTCTTTCAATCTCGAACAATTCTTCTAGCAGTTGCAGCTGCAATCTTTCTTGGTCTACCTGACCTTGGCTTAGTATCAAGAGATCCCTGAATTTTCATTTCTTAATAAGTTATCGAACAGTACTGACTGGCATAAGCAAGGCTTTGAATATCATTTTATATTCTTTTCCATCCTTATGAAGTTCCATTACCTTATTATGCAGTTCTTTTGACAGTTCCTTTGGCTCCCCATGGCTCAGTATCTAGCCTGCTCAGAGCATCCACAAGACAGCTAATAAACTAATCGACTATTTATAAACAGACACTAATTGCATTTTAAAAAGTGATAGGTGTGAGAAATTAACCTTTAATTGCAATTTTTACCCATGTGTATTACCTTTGGGCCATTTGGGTGATTTCTGTTATTATGATTTTTAAAAAGAGACAAACAACTATTTGATAATAAATGGCTTCATATGATCACTATCCTTAACCACTTGCCTCCTGGAAGATTTGCCCCCCTGCATGACCAGGTCATTTATTCGGCACAGCGCTACTTTAACTGACAATTGCAAGCTCATACAACACTGTACACAAATTAAATTTATATAATTTTTTTCACAAAAATAGAACTTTCTATTGGTGGTATTTTATCATCGCTGCATTTTTTATTTTTGCACTATAAACAAAAAAAAAAGACCAAAAAAATAAAAAATATATATGTTTTACATATCAAACAAAAAAATAAAATGTATTCATAAATTAAGGCCAAAATGTATTCTGCTACTTGTGTTTGGTAAAAAAAAAATCCCAATGAGTGTATATTAATTGGTTTGCATGAAAATTATAGCATCTACAAACAATGGCAGGCATATATACTGGAATTTTTATTTATTTATTTTTTTATACTAGCAATGGCGGAAATCAGCGATAGTGGGACTGGGATAGTATGGTGGGCATTCTGACACTGGGTGGAAACTAACTGCCAGTGACATCTCCATTGACGCTAATACAGTGACCAGTGCTAATAAAAAAAAATCACTGACACTGCCCTAATGGCACTGGGCAAAAAGGGGTTAACATTTGGGGCGATCAAAGGGATAAGTGTGCATTAGGGAGTATTATTAGTGTTTACTTTGTGGCGTTTTACTAGGAGATGTACTACTCTTTATCTCCCTGCTTTGCAGAGATAAAAACAAGCACGTCTCCGCTAACAGTATAGAGATCAGTAAAAATAAAATAAAGTGCAGCGCTAATATGTAATCATAAATAATGAATAAAAAGTTCATCCAACAAAGGAATTATATAATAAATGAGTATAAAAGTTCATATGGCACAAAATGGATAATCTTCTCAGCAGCAGATTTCTAGGTAAACTTGTGACTGGAACAAATGGTAAAATTGCGCACTCACCGGAAGCGCATAGGTAATTATCTACTGACCTGAATCCATTTTGGCAGCCCACTAGAATTTCTAAAACAAGAACAGGATGAGTAAACCAGAAGGGGTATGATTCTGCCTAACTCTGCTAAGGAATGATTTAAAGTGTTACTAAACCCACAACAGTAAAATCAGTCTGTATATGCAGTAAAGCATGCTTGTTATAGTCACTGTGGACCTTAGGGGTTAATCCTCCGCATTGTATGTTTGATCCTGTCTTCCCTGATCCTCCTCTTCTTCCACTGTCCCCAACCTATCTGCTGATAGTACAGAGCTCTAGGAGTCACTCTGCACATGGTCAGTTTAGTGTGTATGGCTAGAGAGGTTTTTTTTTTTCTTTTGGAGGGTGCATGTGATCAGAACAGGGCCAATCAGCACTGTCCAGACAGAGGGTCAGGGGTTATACGGCCTCCTAGGACAGTCAGAGAAGAATGAAAACTTCTCCTACAAGCTTTAACCAGTGCTCTGCTGGACACTCGTAGTCACAAGGCTGCTGATGAGAAAAGGTATTTAGCAGTTTATTATTACTAAAATAATTGCATTTTCATGTTCTGTGTACTGTGGGAGACCGGACATAGTGAATGCAGGGTCTTGGGTTTAGTAACACTTTAAGTGCAAATCTAAGCACAGCAAAAATGTAAAGGTGGGACGCAGAGGTTCTTGTAATTAATGCCATGCGCCTCCAGGGACTGTTTCAGTGATTGGCACTCTTTGGAGTCCTAATACAAGTACCTTCTCCTGCATCCACTGCAGCATCCACTGTCATCACTACATCTGTATTCAGGAGATTCTCCATGAAGGTCTCAAATGAGTAAAAATCTCAATAGGGTCAGAGTCAGCAAAAAACCTGAGAGAAACTAACACTTTAATGCTTCACTGTTCTATCAAGAAGTAAAAGGTTAGGCCGAAGTTTGTCTTTTAAATATTGTAATCTTTCATGTAAACATGCACATTTCAGTGACAAATGCAAAACATACCTTGAACACAAGTTCTTTAAGTCGATCAGAGTATCTTTGATTCAACAGCAAAGCATAAAGCATATCAGCGCTCCCTGGCTCAAACAGAAGCAGGAAAAGTTGATCTATAGTGGGAGAGGTTATCAGGAGGTGGTAGACAATCTCTAAAATGCCATAAAGCTAAAAAGAAAAGAAAACAAGAATTATTTGTCTCTTGTGTAATATTTTTAGAATATAAAGCTTCTCCAAACTATGATTATGAAACATGGTCTTACCTGTTGTTCATCACTAGTGGCTGCTATGTAACCAATAATACTTTGAATCTCCTCCTGAGTTCCACCTTTGCTCAGAAAATATTTAATGAGTCCAAACAGAGATGCTCTAATGGTTGTTAGATCTTCTGGTGCCAATGAAGTTTCTTTGCTGAAGGTTTTAGATAAAGAAAAACAAAAAGTTACAAAGCCTGCAGGTTTGACACTCTGTGGAGAATCAAAACAATCGTTAACCAAAGCAATGACGATTTCTGAATTATATTTATTGAACAGTGGGGGCCAGATGTGGCCCTTTGCTTGCTTTTATCCAGTCAATGATGTGACACAATTCTTCCACTGACACCAGAGATAGGGCATCGTCTATTCACACTGACCTTTTCTATTCCCAATAGCTACAGCCACCCTAAAGTCTGAAGGACAGTAAACTTGTCCTTTGTTTAGAAAGTTTGGAGACCCCTGGTCTAAATCAAGATATACATATTACTAAAAGCAAATAGGCGGTTCACTTTGCAAGGGGATATATTTATCCAAATAATTTCCTAGATATGCGAATACCATAATGTCCACCCAGAACACATACTTCAGTGCTTGAACTTGCACTTCAATTACATTTGTAACAGTGGGTCTGATTATTTTAAACAATACGGAAAGAATATGCAGTTTAGCAAAGTGTTTTACCTTTGAATGTCAATGTTTAAACTATAATGGTTTGGTGTTTTAATATTACTTTATTTTAGAATGGGCAAAATGGTTTTCACACCTTGACATTAAGGCAGGTTGTGGGGATTACTAACTGGGATTACTAACTGATTTCCACGGAGGGTCCAAATGACCTACAGTGGGGATCGAAAGTTTGGGCACCCCAGCTAAAAAATTTGTATTAATGTGCATAAAGAAGCCAAGGAAAGATGGAAAAATCTCCAAAAGGCATCAAATTACAGATTAGACATTCTTATAATATGTCAACAAAAGTTAGATTTTATTTCCATCATTTACACTTTCAAAATAACAGAAAACAAAAAAATGGCGTCTGCAAAAGTTTGGGCACCCTGCAGAATTTATAGCATGCACTGCCTCCTTTGCAAAGCTGAGACCTGCCAGTGTCATGGATTGTTCTCAATCATCGTCTGGGAAGACCAGGTGATGTCAATCTCAAAGGTTTTAAATGCCCAGACTCATCTGACCTTGCCCCAACAATCAGCACCATGGGTTCTTCTAAGCAGTTGTCTAGAAAACTGAAACTGAAAATAGTTGATGCTCACAAAGCTGGAGAAGGATATAAGAAGATAGCAAAGCCTTTTCAGATGTCAATATCCTCTGTTCGGAATGTAATTAAGAAATGGCAGTCATCAGGAACAGTGGAAGTTAAAGCAAAATCTGGAAGACCAAGAAAAATATCAGACAGAACAGCTCGCAGGATTGTGAGAAAAACAATTCAAAACCCATGTTTGACTGCACGATCCCTCCAGAAAGATCTGGCAGACACTGGAGTTGTGGTACACTATTCCACTATAAAGAGATACTTGTACAAATATGGTCTTCATGGAAGAGTCATCAGAAGAAAACCTCTTCTACGTCCTCACCACAAAAATAATCGTTTGAACTTTGCAAATGAACATATAGACAAGCCTGATGCATTTTGGAAACAAGTTCTGTGGACCGATGAGGTTAAAATTGAACTTTTTGGCCGGAATGAGCAAAGGTACGTTTGGAGAAGAAGGGGCACAGAATTTAATGAAAAGAACCTCTGTCCAACTGTTAAGCATGGGGTTGGATAAATCATGCTTTGGGGTTGTGTTGCAGCCAGTGGCACAGGGAATATCTCAAGAGTAGAAGGAAAAATGGATTCAATAAAAATTCACCAAATTTTGGATGGTAACTTGATGCCATCTGTGAAAAAGCTGAAGTTAAAGAGAGGACGGCTTCTACAAATGGATAATGATCCTAAACACACCTCGAAATCCACGGGGGATTACATTAAGAGGCGTAAATTGAAGGTTTTGCCATGGCCTTCACAATCTCCTGACCTCAACATAATTGAAAATCTATGGATAGACCTTAAAAGAGCAGTGCGTGACAGACAGCCCAGAAATCTAAAACAAACTGGAAGACTTTTGTAAGGAAGAATGGGCAAAGATACCTCAAACAAGAATTGAAAGACTCTTGGCTGGCTACAAAAAGCGTTTACAAGCTGTGATACTTGCCAAAGGGGGCAGTACAAGATATTAACTCTGCAGGGTGCCCAAACTTTTGCAGACGCCATTTTTTTGTTTTCTGTTATTTTGAAAGTGTAAATGATGGAAATAAAATCTAACTTTTGTTGACATATTATAAGAATGTCTAATCTGTAATTTGATGCCTTTTGGAGATTTTTCCATCTTTCCTTGGCTTATTTATGCACATTAATACAAATTTTTAGCTGGGGTGCCCAAACTTTCGATCCCCACTGTACAGGTATGGCAAAATGAGTGAACTTCACAAAGTTGCACCATTTTAAAAAAATATCTACTGGGACTCCTTAACTGCATTGGATATCTTCTGGAAAAGGTGCCCGTTTTATAAAGGTTTTTACATGTATGCTTTCCTTCACTGAAATTTTGAGCTATTGAGCTTTCTAGACAACTGCTCTTTTTAAAATGAAGGAGCTAAATGTATAAATGACAGTCTATAAAAGTCCCAACAGCAGTTACTCTGTAAAGCACAAAGTAAACAAAAGGCTTCCCTTTCTCTGACTGAGCCAAATCCCCCTTCACAGACACACTTTAAATAAAGTTGATCTCCATGTTTCAGTCAACTCTAGTTTGTTTGGACTAAGCTGGTCCAAACATTTACCTTACTAAACATCTTCTCCGGCTGTGTGCACTGTATAAATTGTATGCAGCCTCAGCTACATACAGTTTAAAGCGTTGTGTTCCGGCAGCAGGCCATGAAGTTTCTGTCCCACTCCTGAGACAAAATCAAGTTAAGCGCTGCTCAGCCATTCATGTATTCTTTATAATCACGTTTTTATTAAGATTTTTTACAAAATAATGATACAAAAATACAGGAAACACAAGGAAAACCCGTGGTACATAGGGAAAATTCACAATGTATCAAAAGATACATGGACCAACAAACGATTACTGCAATCAGCAAAGAATAAGTAAATAAAGTGTCCACGTATCATATTGCGGTCCCTACTGAACCATAGGTAACCAAAGAAAATATATAGCTCAAGAATAAAACCAAGTAAACAAACAAAAAAAACAAAAAAGAAATAAATGTTTTCGCTAGTAAATTACCATTAAGATGATATTGCCGAAGATATATTTCTAGGGATGACAATCTCACATAGTTGAGGGGAGGATGCAACACTACCATACAATAAAGCTGAAGCAGGAGTGTGGAAGCTGAATGTCATGAATGAAGGTTGTATAGGTTATGAAGGGATACTGAGATAGGAACCAGCACCATCAGGTAATAGGAGAAATGGAGGTTAGAGCAATCACAATATCTAGAGAAAATTGGGAATTCAGTCATCAGGGATCTCAAAGAGAATAATGCATCCAACCTGACCATATATCATGGAAGCGATCATGTTGGTTCTGAACTGTATGCACCCAATGCTCTGCTTCCATGATTTTATCCATCTCCCGTTTCCAATCAGCCAACATAGGACATGTGGCCTGTTTCTGATATCTGGGATCAGACTTTTGGCTGCATTTAATAGGCGAGGAGTTGCACTCCTTTTGTGCAAGTTAACCGATGACTGAGTATAGTGAAAGAAAAACTGGAATTGAGTGCTCTGGATGGGTCTAAGGGTTGTTTGCTTTATCAAGGGGGTAATTGCCTCCCAGAAAGCACGTATTTTAGGAAAGAACCACCAAAGGTGAATAAAGGTGCCCCGTTGGGGACAGTCCTGCCAGCAACTACGATCTGCACATGGGAACATCTGAGCTAGGCGAGAGGGAGTTCTGTACCACCTGGTTAAAAGTTTATAGGAAGATTCCTAAATAAGAGTATTTAGTAATATGAAGCAAACATGGGTCGGGTGTATAACTTTCTGAATCTGGAAAGGAGAAAACTCAAACTCCATTTCCCTCCCCCACTCCCTAATATAGTACAGAGACACCCAAGATTGGGTCCCAAGAACTAGCCTGTACATATGTGATCGTAAAGGTCTAGAGACTGAAGGGTGCATGCACCAGGACTCAAATGAAGAAAGGGTATCCCATAAACAGAGTTTAGGATGTAACTTGAAGAAGAAGTCAAGTAATTGTCGATATCTGCAGGAGGACATTAGAAAGTCCCCATAAGTAGATTGTAGGGTTGCTACTGACAACAACTTCCCTCCAGGTGCAAATTTAGCACACGTGTTTCCGTCCCACCCCACAGGAACGGAAATAATGAACATCCTCCCCAGGAGAGAACCATGGGAAACCTCCCAGCAGTGTCAGAGGAGAAGTCTGGGTTGCAAACACACCATCAGCATTCAGTTTATCCCACACAGTAAGGGGATGTCCAGTCAGAGACCTCTTCCCCGGATTATATCCACGGGGCCCCCACTAGATTCCTGCCTGCCAAGGTCTTCTCCAAAGGCACCCAAAGTTTAGTAGAAGTGTCTTGATGCCAATTCAAGGTCTTGGGCTTGTAATACATAGCTATTTCAGGTAGGCCCCCACCCCGCCGTCCTGTTTATGTCTGTGTAAGATAGCATAAGGGAGTCTTGGCCATTTTCCATGCCATACAAACTTCAAAAATGCCCGTTTCAGTCGCTGAGAAAAAAAATTTTAGTAGAGAGATCAGAATAGTGCAGAAATATATGATATGAGAGAGGACAGTCATTTTGAGTACATTTATTAATCCAAACCATGTTAAAGGGTAATCGTGCCAGGATTTCAAGTCCCCCATAGTTCTGTCTAGTGCTTTACCATAATTAGGGTAAAGTTGGTCAGATGAGATATGGCTCACCAAATAAGGCAATGATTCCACCCACCAATGTAACTGGAAAGAGTGGCACAACAAGGTAGCCATCTCCAAGGGAACATAGATGGGCAGCAATTCTGACTTATTATAATTAGTAGTTTTAAACTTAAGAGACACTGCCGAACCTACAAAGTTCCTCCATTAGCCCTGGAAGAGAGGTCTGGGGGTGAGTAAAATAAAAAGGAGGTGAGTATACAGTATACTAAAAAAGAGTGGGCATCCAAGGCTTTAGCTTGGATGGGTCATAGTGTTGTTTGTGTTTAATTTCAAGTAAGTCTAAAACCTCCTGCTGTTTCTCTTTCTTTACCCAAGCCCCGTGAGCGATCAATCGCTGTTGAGCGCTAGGAGGGGAAAAGGACAGCGTCACAGGGGAATGATCAGAGATGGTAATGGATTTCAACCAAGGCAGAAATAACAGTGCTCAGAAAATACCTTCACCCTGGCATGCATGGCCCTCCAACTATCAAAAAGATGTACAGTGCCTTGAAAAAGTATTCATACCCCTTGAAATTTTACAAGGTGATTTCCTGAATTTTTTTCTTAAATTCTGTCTCTCAGAGTGGGAATGCACCTACAATGTGAATTTCAGACCCCTCCATGATTTCTAAGTGGGAGAACTTGCAAAATCGCAGGGTGTTCAAATACTTCTGTTGCTCACTGTAGATTTAATATATGATCATAGTTCTGCTTTAAGAAGAAAGGCTGGGTTTAACAGTTTTTTAGTAGAGAGCATTTCAGTTTATGATTGCCCCCACAGCACAATAACACAATTGTCTATTTTGTGAGACTGTAATCATTATCCATACCTGTAGTATATCCGGATTGTGTCTAGGAGAAACTGAACACCGTACTTTTTGCGGAAAAGTTTTTTTGTTGTCTTTAATAATGGTTGACAAGTACTGTATATGCCCTACAAAGAAAGAAAGTACATTGCTCAGAATAAATCATCTATTCAAATATTACAATTTCCATGAAGAATTATAAAAATGCTAGTTAGTTGTTTTTTCTGAATTTTATTGTGTTACAGAATTGGATTTGATAAAACAGCTAAAGTCATCCTCAGGCAATTCATATTATTAAATGTAAATACAAGTCTAATTCTATAAAAAAGAAGTCTGCTTCAAATGCCCTCTTTAGGTTTATTTATATGTTACATCTAGATCACTCTGTGCCAGTGATATATTCTCTCTTTCAAACACCAGAACGATTCTTCAAAAATAAATAAAAGGGTTTTACCTGAACTTACATTTTAAGATTAGCATTTCTGCCAGCTTTTTTTTTCTTTTACTGTTTGTGTTACTATTGTGGAGACATCCCCTGACTACTTATCAAAGTAACAAGAAATATCTTCAATGGGGAGAAAGACAAAGTCAAAAACATAAACACAGATCAAGCTGGGGGGGGGGGGGGGTATTGTATTGCCACAACTTGCAGTGACACAACCTCTGCCATTTCTTGCACAGCATCATAAAAACAGGAAATAAAGTACATTCTCCCCAACCGCGTCAGACAAATAAAAAACCTGACAAAATTTGTAATTTGTCCCAATCCTATCCAAAATTAAAACAGCTAGACTGTACTGTAAAAGAAAGGTCATTGCATGATACTGGACTTTGAAGTGTTGTTAAACCCACATCATTAAAAATGATCAATAAATGCTATATTACATGCTGGTCATGTCAACTCAGTCACTATGGGATTTGTTTTCTGTATTCTGCAAAAAACCTGGTTGATCCTGCTGCTGTTCTCTGTCTCACCCTCCTGTCCATTTCCCCACTCCAGTTAGGGATTTTGCAGGGCAGTGTTGGCAGTCAGTGCACATGCTCAGTTTTCAGCGTATTTTCTACCCTAAGCATTTCCTCCCTATCACATTTGAGCATCCCATGTGGCTATAGAGTCACACACATGTGGGAGTATACACAGTAGTAAATGACAGCCTACTCCCGCCCTTCTCCATGCTTGCTAACTAGCTAAACACAATGGGGGTGGGATATTACATCTCGACTGATGTGGCTTCACCTCCCTGTTATTATAAGATACAGGTTGAAGTGGCGTGACACAGCTTGTGACTGGCAGAAATCCACCCACACCATGTTATAGAATAATAAGGCTTACGTTTCATATATATATTTGTATGACAATTTAAAACAGTTTATTTAAATTATTTATTTTTACTCTGTATCCCAAAGTCTGTTTTTTTTTTAATTTTAATTTGACAATGTGATCAGTAGCAGAAGACTAGAAGCTCCTCCTGCTACTGTTTCCCTACAGATAGGCAGGGAAAGAGCTGGGTCATGTGACAGCTGTATATTTTATTTATTTATTTATTTATTTCAGGTACTTCTATAGCGCCGTACAATCTAAGGTCCCTAACTCACATTCATACATACACATACTAGGGACCATTTAGACAGGAGCCAATTAACCTTCCAGCATGTCTTTGGAGTGTATGTGGAGTGTAGTGGATTTATATAGCGCCAACGGTTTGCTCAGCACTTTATATTACAGTGGGAGACAATACAGTAACAATACAGTTCGATACAAGAGGGATTTGAGGGCCCTGCTCCTTGGAGCTTACACTCCAGGAGGGAGGGGTGAATGGTACAGTAGGTAGTCACTGTGGGGGATGGAGTGGTTGGAAGAGTAGAGGATTACAGAATTAGCAGAGGGCGGGAAAGGCTTCCCTGAAGAGAAAGGTTTTCAGTGATCACCGAAAGGCAAGTAGAGTAGGTGACAATCGGATAGATTGCGGTAGGGAGTTCCAGAGGATGGGTGACGCCCTGGAGAAGTCTTGGAGACGAGCATGGGAGGAGGAGATAAGGGAGCTAGAGACTAAGAGGTCTTGCGAGAAGCGGAGTGTAAGGTTTGGGTGATATTTAGATATAAGATCGGTTATGTAAGTTGGGGCAGTGTTGTGGATGGCTTTATATGTCATTGTTAGAGTTTTGAAGTAGTCGAGGCGTGATATGACAAGGGAGTGAATGAGTTGCTTAGTGGTTTCAGGGGTTAGGAATGGTCGTATCTTGGAGATGTTGTGGAGGTGAAGTCTACATGATTTTGTCAGCGATTGGATCTGGGGTTGGAAGGACAGATGGGAGTCTAGGATTACACCTAGTACCCAGGCATTAGAGGATGGACTGAGGATAGTGTTAGCGATATTTATGGTGAAGTCAGTGGAGGTGGCGCGGGCAGGGGGGAATACTAGGAGCTCAGTTTTGGAGAGGTTGAGTTTGAGGAAGTGGAGTGACATCCAAGCCGATATGTCGCTTAGTAGGCTAGCGATGCGGGTGGAAACTGAAGGGGTGGGGTGAGGTGAGAGGTAGATAGATTTGCAATAGATTTGCACTTAGCCACTGTGCTGCCCTATATCAATTAAGAATAAAGATACTTAATGAAAATAATTAAAGTGCCGTCATCCACATACAGAACAAGAAGGGATTATGTAAATTAAACAGTGTCTGTTTAGTTTCACTTTAACACATGACCATTTTTGACACTCACCAATTCGAAAGGGAAAATCTCCGCGATTCCAGATACGGAAGTCAAAAAGAAGATACTGGTACATTTGCTGTAGTAGGAGGGTATTCTTTTCTACTGACACTTGCTCAATTAGTAACTGTACTGACATCAGCACATTCACATCCATAAAGTGCCCTGGTACCTGGAAAGACACAACAGGATTGCATAACCAAACTACCAAGAAAAAAAAAACACTCTCAAAGTAAACATGCCACGTTAGGTAAATACTGTACTGCCAATGCAGATCTCATTTTATAAATACGTTTAGCCTGGCTGTTCGATAGTCAATTCAAACTACACTGCACCTGAGCACCGCAAACCAAAACCACTATTTAATATTCAAAGCACTTCATCCATGTCTCCACGTTTTGTTTTTTTTTTTGCTGAGAAATCATTTGAAAAACACCATCTAGCATTTCTGATTGTAGCCATCCTGAATAAGGACAGAAGATTTATGTAGTGTTTCCTTCCTAGAATCCAACTGCCCTTAGCTCAGGAATGCAGGCAGGAGGGTGTGCTTAGCTGAGAAAACCCCTCCTGAAGACTCCTGGAATGTATAACATCATTTGCCTAGGCCTGGAAACCAGGAAGTAACTGAAGAATTGTAAAAAGAAATAGTTTAAAACAAGATAATATGATATACTTTCCTATCTATTTATTGCTAGCAGCATAAGAATTAAAATACAGTGGTACCTCGGTTTACGAATGCCTCAGTTAACGTAATTTTTGGTTTAAGAATGAAAATCCATTGAAAATAATGCCTCGGTTTCCAAATTTTTTTTGCGATACAAAATGCAGGTCAGAGCTGATTTTTAAATGCAATTGCCGGCTTTTTTTTTCTTCACTATAGCTCACAGGATTAGCTGTCACTTTCCTGGAGTTAAAGGAAACTTTGTTTCTTTTAAGAAACTAAAAGGAAACATTGTTTCTTTTAACTTGGGGAAATAAACTAACAGAAAACGCTCTCTTTTAGCTGGGGGTAAAGTGACAGCTGAATTTCTGAGCTATAGTGAAGAAAGAAAAAAAAAAAGTACCATAATAAAAAAAAAAACGGCCTGGGGTCCCTCCTCCCATCCATACCAAGCCCTTCGGGTCTGGTATGGATTTTGAGGGGAACTCTCGTGCCAAAATAAAAAAAAAAAATGGTGTGGGGTCCCCCCCATCCATACCAGGCCCTTATCCGAGCATGCAGCCCGGTAGGTCAGGAAAGGGGGCGATAAGCAAGCAACCCCTCCAGAACCATACCAGGCCACATGCCGTCAACATGGGGGGGTACTTTGGGGCAGGGGGGCTCCCCCCACCAAAGTACCTTGTCTCCATACTGATGGGGACAAGGGCCTCTTCCCCACAACTCTGGCCAGTGGTTGTGGGGGTCAGCAGGCAGGGGGCTTATCGAAATCTGGAAGCCCCCTTTAACAAGCGGGGCCCCCAGATCCTGCCCCCCCCATGTGAATGAGTATGGGGTATATAGTCCGATACTCATTCACAAAAAAACAAAAAGTGTAGTGTGAAAAAAGACGGGACACAGTCTTTGACAAGTTCTTTATTAAAAGAAAAAACTAAAAGAATGTCCCCTGCAGTAGATCCAACTTCAATCACGATGCCCGCCGCCGACCCGAACCCCGCTGACAGCTGAAACATTAACATATAGTTGTCACTAATAAAATACCGCATGACTTGAAAAAATAACTCATGCGGTATTTTAGTAGCGTTTACTTTTTTCTGACCTCAGGAACGGATTGGTTTTCAATGCATTCCTATGGGAAACAGCATTTCAGTTTATGAACTTTTCGCTATACAAAACGTCCTGCAGAACGAATTAAATTTGTAAATTTGGAGGTATTACTGTAGTCCATTTTGATTCAGTGAGTGAAGTCCTGCTTTAAGTTACTGACGTAGGAATATATACAGTATGCAGTTTAGGAAAATCAAAAATCATTACCTGCATACTTTTTTCAGATCAGTGACTCGAATATTGAAGCAAGAGCACAGTAGCCTCTTTCTAGTATTTTGAAAATGAGTCATGTAGCGTTTGCCATGTTTATTTTATGCATACAATTTTCATCATAGTGTCTTAGAATCCCATACTGAATATACACAGCTATGAGGCTGTAGGCCCACGGGTTCCTATGCACTGCGCTTTTTCAGAGGAATTCCAGACAACGGGAAATACTGTGCAAACGTTTCAGGCACTTTTGAAAAAAATGCTGTAAAGCGAGTACTTTCAAAAATAGCAACTGATGAAGTGCATCAAAAAAAAACAACCTAAATCAAATCATTTTTTGGCATGTCTGCCCTTTGCCTTTAATCAATTCTGCGAAGTGCACTTGCACAAGTAAGACATTTGCAGCCATACAGTCCAATGCAAGCATAAACAAT